TTTCAACATAGTCACTTTTTAGGCTTATATACTTTATTCAATGCTGTTCTATAGTTTATTGATGCCTTCCAAATAACAAGATTTATTTAACTCTGTAAAATAGGTTTTCGTTTTTGTAATCACCTCCTCGCTCGAGTAAAATCTTTTCCCGCCAACCATTTGTTCATATTAGGGAACAAATAATAATATGACGAAGCCATGTCTGTAAAATAGGGGGGATATGAAATGAGTTGGAACCCTATTTTCATCTGTTTTTGCGGCCATAACTGCGGTGTGAGCTGGTGTATTATCGCGATGGTAAAGGACTTTTGTGTGGACATTTTTCTTGCAACTCGGTTGTCAAACGATCCAATAATGATGAATAATATTCACCTGTAATAGTTTTACGATTTTTTAGATAGTCAATAAAGATTATTCCTTCCGAATCCCAAAATACAGTCACCATAACCTTCTAGCCGCAGAAATGATCTTTACCTTTTTCGGTGCAGATACCCTCTTGGCAACCTATTGTTTAGATTGTTCTTTAGTTTCAGGAGTATAGTTGTGTATCGATGTTTAATGTGCAGAAGCCAAGCGATGCTTAAAGTCCTACAGATTTCGCTGAAACAGCGAATGTTTAGACAACATATGAAATTCTTTTTCGTTCATTTTTTTATAACCACTCGATTTCTTTGATTTAAGCGAATGTTAAATACAAAGTAATGAACCGATCTCGCTGATTTTTGATGTGTGCTCTTACAAAATACGAGGGTGGACCGATAAGTACTTAGCCTACAAAAAAAAACGAAAATTTTGGAAAAGTGGCGTTTTATTTTCCAACATAGTCTTCTTTTAGTTCGATACACTTGGCCCAGCGATGCTCTAATTTCCTTAACCCGTCTGAAAAATACGTTTCCTCGAGGTCTGAAAAGTAGGCTTCCGTGGCAGCGATTACCTCCTCATTCGACTCAAATTTCTGCCTGGCGAGTGACTTTTTCAAGTTTCGAAACAAAAAGAAGTCGCACGGGGCTAAATCTGGAGAATACGGTGGGTGGGGCAGCAGTTCGTAGCCTAATTCGACCAATTTGGCCATGGCGACGGCGGAGGTGTGAGCCGGTGCGTTGTTATGGTGGAAGAGCACTTTTTTCTTCGCCGAATGGGGCCATGTTTTCTGCAATTCGACATCGAATCGGCCCAATATTTCGGCGTAGTACAGCCCTGTGACCGTTTTGCCTCTCTCGAGGTAGTCGATGTAGATCACGCCTTGTGAATCCCAGAAAACGGTTGCCATTACCTTTCCGGCCGATGGGGCAGTCTTCGCCTTCTTTGGAGCACTTTCGCCGGGTAAAGTCCACTGTTTCGACTGTTCCTTGGTCTCTGGTGCATACCAGTGGATCCATGTTTCGTCGACTGTCACGAAACGATGCAGAAACTCCTTCGGATTGCGCTTAAACAGCGTCAGACATTGCTCTGAAGTTGTCTCACGGTTGCGCTTGTTGTCTGGATTGAGCAAACGCGGCACCCATCGCGCCGACAGCTTTCTCATGCCCAAAATTTCATGCAGGACATGACCCACGCGGTCTTTTGAGATGCCTACGATCTTAGCTATCTCGCGCACCTTCAATCGTCGATCTGCCAATACGAGATCGTGAATTTTTGTCACGTTATCCTCCGTGGTAGCCGTTTTCGGAGCACCTGGACGTGGCTCTTCAAAAATCGACGTGCGACCACGTTGAAACTCGTTAAACCAATTTTTGACGGTCGCCATTGAAGGAGGAGTTACCGTACACAGCATCCAAGCGCTTTTTGATTTCGCTGAGCGATTTCCCTTCCAAAAACAAGAATCGAATCACCGACCGATACTGCTCTTTTTCCATTTTTCAAAAATCAACGGACACACTTGCTTTCACACGCTCTCAAAGATAAACTACAACTCCGATCCAGCTGAAATCTTGACAGTAACCATCGAGAAGGTTGTACTTTGTGATAAAATATTTCTTTTGCGAGAGTGGCGCCATCGGGCGGTAAGGCTAAGTACTTATCGGACCACCCTCGTATACTAAAAACTGAAAATAACCTCGATACGCACCAATATCGCCATTTCTCTGACTTTGCACGGACTTTTCAAACGATCCTCGTATTATTATGTCAAAAATCTATTGATTTTCGTATATTGAACTCAGAAACTGAGTGTCCTCATGTCTGTTTATAGTGTTACTTATATTTTTAATAAATAATATTTCGGCAATTATTCCCTTATGATCATGATTCTCTCTGTCCAAAATTTCTACATTAGCGTAATCAAATCTATGTGCAAGTTTATTTTTAAATGAATTGATATAGGCAAAGACTTATCAACTAATGTCTTTTCATGCTCCTTAATAAGTTTCTTAAGGCATTTTTTCATTTGTTCTATGTATATCGCTGATAATTACAATTCTAACATTTAAATTTTGAAATGAAATCGGTTTCTTCCCATTTGTTTAATAAGATCTTGTCTAATCTTACAATATTAAGTTTATCTGTCATTATCGCAACACAGAGGATGTATCATAAATAGTATCAAATAGTATAAATAGTATTATAATCGTATTATACAACTCTGATCTAATGTTACAATTTAGTAGACAAGACACTACTACTTTTGAATAAATCTCGTTTTGCACAGATCAAGCACTTATCAAACATTTATATGGGAAGAAACAGGCATGGTTTACATATTTCAATGTGTTAAATATTCATCGATATACATAGAGCAAACAAAGAAAAAAACGAAAAGATACTTTGAAAACGTATTAAGAAACATAAAAAGACACTACTTGATAAGTCTACTTATTCCAACTAATTTACAAAATAATCCTATAATTTTAATTTCGCTAATGTAGAAATATTGGACATAGAGATATCGTGATCACAAGAGAATGATTGCCGAAATGTTATTTATTAAAAATATTAGTAACACTATACAGACAGAAGGACATTCGATTTTTAAGTGACTAATATATGAGAGTCAATAGACTTTTGACACAATAATATATAACGGAACTTGTAATTTTTATTCACATAGTGCATACTTTTTGTGGTGTTCAATGTTTCCGTTTAGAGGTTTTAAGTAATTGTTTTCATATTATACGACATGATTGGATGTAACGGTAAGAATGTTTGTAATTTCGATAGAAAGGTAATGACAGTTCACATGTTGATGTTTGCTGCAGTATAATGCCAAGTACTATGGCGAGAAGATTCACTGATTAGTATGACTTGTTTGTGAGTAGACTATTGTATTTTCTTAACCTCATGTCTAATTTAAACTTGTAATTTAAATAAAAATATATAGCTACAATTCAATTAAAATAATCATATTTATTTGAAAAATTTAATATATGTTTGTCACTGAAGATCCAATGAGATCACTAATTACAGAGGCCGACAGTTTTTAGATCCAGAGACCAGACATAGTGCACCCGAAAGAATGTGACGCGTTGAATCCGAATCTAGCTTCAGAATTGATCCATTATCCTCAGTTTCTGAGATATTCTAACCTAAAAGTGCAAAAGCGACTATTTTTCGCTGTTTTTGAACTCTTTTCACGTCGGTAATTTCTTTTTTCGCTACACTTTTTTTTCTATTTCAAAAAACGATATCGCCACTTTAAAAATTCTAATTGAAAAAATTAGATAGTGCTTTTTAAAGTAAACAACTTGCCCTTTCGAATGCTCTTTTCAGTTTTTGAATAAAATGGAAATTAGCGATGTGAAAAGAGTTTAAAAACAGCGAAAAGATTTTTTTGCACTTTTAGGTTAGGATATCTCAGAAACTAGGGGTGATGGATCGATTCTGAGGCTAGATTCGAATTCAGCGCATAAAATTCCTTCGAATATACTAGGTCTGGTCTCTGGGTCTGGACTTTCGTCAAATTTTGTCGGCCTGTGTTATTGGCAAACTATCATAAATACAATAAATGTTACGTATGTAATTTATGAAGAGCTTACTTTCAAATCTTTGTATAGTTTTTTTATTTAACACCATGACTATATCAATACCTACATTTTGAGGCGACCCAATCAGTAAAGAACAATCATCGTTTCACCACTGCAAGACCTAACTAAAAGGAAATTATAACTGTCAAATCGCACAAGTTAATGTAAAAAATATCCGCGTACGAGTACAGTTCCCGTTCTCACTCATATGCTTATCGGTACAAGAGCGCGTGCGGTAGAAGGAGAGAAAGAACAAATGATTAGTTAAATTAGTTAACTAGAGTTCATTATCCGACTTTATATAAAGCAACGTATGCACATGAGCTCGAAAGAACGAAGATAAGATAAGGGGATCGCAACAAAGGAAAAGGCAAGCTCGACAGTAATCGCTAGCGGCACAAATACATCTTGCAGAGTGAGAGCGAGACCGGCAGGATGGAGGTTGAAGATCCACGGAAGCGACTAGTTACCGGCTAAATTTGGGAAGTATGATGTCCGTAACTGCGATTACGAGATGCGAAATAATGCGAGCGTAGTGTCACGATGTACAGAGACTCTCTCTCTCTCTCTCTCTCTCTCTCTCTTTCGTGCAACGACAATAAATAAGACAAATTTTCCCAGCCGGCCCTTATTTATAATGAACTTGATCTTAAAAAGAGTGAATAAATGTATAGTCTGTCAATGAAATTCTAGCTTTCAGAGTATGTGATTTTGCCATATTTTCCGTATATTCTTGTTACGAACCTGAACGTACATCAACAACAGCGCAATCGCAGATGGTTTTTGTAACTGTTTCCAGCTAACACTTTGCATTGGACAACCAGTCGCGTCACTGGGCACTGGAACTTAGTATGGCACGGCGAATGGCGATTTTGCAATAGCTGACGTTGACGATTTGAATTGCCCGTGCGAGCATACACCCGCACCTCTACGCGCTTCTGTTACAACACCTAAATAATGGATATTTTTTCTTATTATTCACTAAACATTTATTGGAATAAAAAAACCAAGGGTTTCGTTAATAATATCAAAAAATTTGTTTATTTTTCTTTATTTACCAATTCATCATTCATCATTATTGGTTTATACTTTTACATCTCCAATTTACTTGATATCTCGAATTATGTTTTATCCAAATTTATTATTATTTTCATTTTTTGCTGATAGTGATTTGGAGATTTAAGTTCAAGCTCTTTGATGCTCTGAATTATCTACTTATAACTATTCTGAAAAACAATTTCAAGCTGATTATGTTAATATTATTTATCAATATATGATGATAAGTATGAATTTGGTTAATTTTGTTTCTGAAAGTGTTATAGAAAACTATGAATCATATTGAGTATATGAAAAATACGGAAAAACAGGTATCATTGTTAGTTTTGAATTTTTAAAATACAGTGTAGAGCTTGTTTAATCAGTAAGTTAATGCCAGAATTAATTTTGTCAACATTGAACCAGCATGAGACTTTAGTATCTTCTGTCTCGAGAGTCTGAGCGCGATCGACGATCACGGCTGCGGCTGCGGGTCAAAGATCTCCTTCGTGGACTGCGTGACCGAGACCTATAAATTAGAAAAAAAAAACGTTATGTATTAATTGTAAAATTATGTTTAACAATTATTTATTTTATCTTGCTCTATTTGATAATGAATAATTAATTGTCGTAAATACAGAATTAAAATATATTTTTGTTTAAATTAATTATATATGCGTGCTAATTTATCGTCAATAAGAGCAAGTTTGTAAAAGAAAAATAGTTTCAGTTTATAATCACGTATCTGTAAAATACTTTTTAGTGAGAATAAAAACAGCTTATTTATGACTTGTGTAGACTCCAATGAATTTTGTGAGATAGTATAATCAAATCAAACCAGTTAATATATAATATTACAATATCATCATAGAAATATTTAATAAGTAAGTTGTTGAATTCAAAATTAATAAATAACCCGTTCGTATTTTTTAAAACACAATGTTCAATGATACGGTACTATGAAATTACTTTGCTTATTGTTTTAATTATTGTGATGAAAGAAGTTATCTCAAATATTTCACTTAAATTAAACATTGAGTAAGTTTGTTTCAATTATATAAAATAACTAAAAACTTATTAATAAGATGACAAATATAAAAAAAACTGTATACTAAATATTAGTTTTATTTTTGAGTGTAAACCATTTAATTTTTCAATAGCAATTTTATAAAACATTGCTTCTTCATCACTTGATCACAAATCAAATATTTTACAGATACACCAATATCAATTTCAAGATGATAAAAAATAATTTATTCTGATAAATCTAAAGAGATGTTATTTACAAAAACTATTAGCAGTTCTTCGAGCAAGAAAAGCAATTTTTATAATCAGTAATGTATTCATATATTGAAGGAGACTCTAATAATAAATTATAAATAAATTTTATGAAGTTTACTGAACGTTTTAAATATTAAATAGTTACTAAAACTGTGAAAGCACTTATTTATTTTATCAAGGGCTTAAAACAACAAATTATAAATTAAAACCTTCACAAAAACAAATCAACATCATTGTTTAATAATTTTCAAAAATAACAATCAAGTTCATGAGTAGATTTTTGAATACATACACCATACCATTCGAAAAATCGTACAAAAAATTAATTTTTATTAATTATTGCTATAAGTGAATAATAAAAGTTGAATATAACGTAGAACTCTATATATATCCATTCCTTCTTTATTTTTTTTGCCGCTAAGATTTTCTTACAATAATTAAAATAATTAAAAAATATAATTTAAAAGTGATATTTAGATTAATAATAATCACTAATTGATCACATGATAAAGCCTCCTTAAGAAAGCTTTTCATACTCAAAGAATCATAAATAATTTTCTTAAATATGACTTTATGTAAAAAATATTAGAATCATTAAGAAATTATGGAAGTATAAATAACGATTGTAATAATAACTTTCAATTCAATAAATGTAATGAAAAATTAGAAAATATTATAAATTATTCGTAAACATTAGGAATTTTCATAAATATAACAATTTAGATCGAAGAAGTATACCAAACTGTTATTGTGATGGTTGGTGATAGTGGTAGTTGGTGATACTTGGTTGGATAGGACGGTAGTTGGTGTATTTCAAATGAGTAGTGATTACATCATTTGCTCAGCCAAATTCGGAGACAAGGTGAGAAGATTTGATGTATAGCTTAAGTGTGACTTCCTAGAGTAGACGAAGAGCAGTTGTAGAAGTCGGAAGAGATGTCATTCTACGTCTGTGCCGGGACGATTCGATGAGTTCTATAGTCTCAAAATTTCATTGAAATTGCCCATGCATTTAGATTCATTTTTTTATGACCGTTAACTCGACAAATTCCAAATATTCTACTAGATATTTCAGACATAAATTATCGTGGGAATTTTCCGTTGTTTATCCCCTCATTGTTACTGCATTAGATGATGATGATGACGTGTTCAATGATGACTGGTAGTTGATTTTCATTCTTATGTCATGGTGGTGGTGGTCGTAGTAGTAGTAGTAGTAGGTAGTAGTAGTAGGTAGTAGTAGTAGTAGTAGGTAGTAGTAGTAGTAGTAGTAGTAGTAGTAGTAGTAGTAGTAGTAGTAGTAGTAGTAGTAGTAGTAGTAGTAGTAGTAGTAGTAGTAGTAGTAGTAGTAGTAGTAGTAGTAGTAGTAGTAGTAGTAGTAGTAGTAGTAGTAGTAGTAGTAGTAGTAGTAGTAGTAGTAGTAGTAGTAGTAGTAGTAGTAGTAGTAGTAGTAGTAGTAGTAGTAGTAGTAGTAGTAGTAGTAATAGTAGTAGTAGTAGTAGTAGTAATAGTAAAAATAGTATGTTGAACGAGTATGTCGATAATAAGCACATGTTATAGTAGTATCAAAAGTAACGACGGGGAGAAGCGTAGACCTATAATTTGACGCTCGTACAATCTGCAAACCTCAGTTTTACGAATAAAATAACAAATCATGAAAAAGTATTCTAATAATAGTAAACAAGCAGATAATTTGAAAAATGTCCAAATACTTTCTTTAAATTTCCAAATAATAAGAAATATTTATTTCATGTTTAACGTAATCATACAACGAATGGTTTTCCTGTTGTCCAAGGTATGTTTGCAATGCAAAAATTCAAAGAGAGAAGATAGAAGAATAGCTAAGGAACAGGTCTCCCATCCAGATTACTTCCTAAGGGCGATTACATTTAAGAAAAATTTTTAATTAATAAGTAGAGTAAAACTACGGTTAGTAATATTCACAGTGGTAAGCGGCAGTGAAGACTGGACTATAAAAGCTGCGCTATGAATGTTTAGTGGATTTCCGATCTATCCTCTTTTTTACATAATCGACTTAATACTCGTAATACAAGCAAGCTAAAATATCTACCACGTTGAATTCCAAAACGTACTGCCGCCGTTTATTTCTAAATCGTAAGAATTGATTTTTTAGGGAAACTATTCATTCTTTCAAAGAAGTCTTGGTACAATATCACAGGAAGAAAAACAGAGAATTTTAATGAAAATATTGTTAATTCAAAAGTTACCTTGAAACACTGTAAAAATTGATGGAAAACTTAAAATATCTTAAGGTTTTCTATAATAATTAGTGATTCATGTTTGTATAAAAATATGCTATTGAAGAAACTATCATAATTTTTTTGTACTTGACATACAATAGCAGTTTGATATGCAATTAAGAGCGATGGCGTTAAAAAACAGGAAGAATATAGGTTTACTTATCAGTATTATTTCAGCTCTAAATACAAAAATAACTCCTTAATCATTGTTCAACTGATATTTCTGAAGAAAGAATATGCCATTGATATAGACTATATTGATAATATAATTATAAATGATTACATTGCCAGCTTTGACACTCTTGCAGACCTCAACAACCTTAAGATTATATTCTAAATATCTGATAATGGAGCGAAGGCGATATTAAGTAATTACAACTTAGTAAAATAACCATCAAACAAAGAAATTCTAAATTAGATAATAACCAAGTCAAAGGTGAGAGATCAAGCTATTTATAGAATACGCAGGGATACGTAGATAATAACGTTAAAATATTTCTTTTATCTCTAGTTTTATTTACTATCTGTCTATCTATATTTTCATCAATAATAATTTCTTTAAGTTCTTTTATTGCACGATTATACTTTGTCTTATCAGTTTGTTCTCTATTTTGTTGCCGTATTTTCCTTAGTTTTTTTCATTTTAATTTGTCTTTTAGAGATAAATATATTAGCTTTTTTATTTTTTGAAAGTTTGGGAATCGCAATATTAGCTTTGTGAATGTTATTGTTTAGATATTCTATGGCAGTATCTATGTCTTGTCGAGTTTCAGGCGGTATTCTATATGTGAAATCATCATTTAGTACTGCTCTGCAGGTACTCTAGTTTGTTTTTTTATTATAAAGAGAACTATTCAATGTTTGAATTTTAATTATCGAATCATAGCTTATAATAATTAGAGAGTGATCTGAGGTTAGTTCGAAACACGATTGGGCTATTAGATGTTTAAGACATAGTTCTTTAATTATTGCATAATTTATTAAATTAAGTAGTTTAGTGGTATCGGACAATCAACATGTAGGTTTGCCGATGATATTGGTGTAAGGTTTCCTGTTTGTATAACTGAATAAAGATATGCTCTTTTTGGATTTGAAGTTATTGAACGTAATCCTCATATGGATGTTTTGCATTGTAGTCACCTCCCGTGAAGAAACGATTTTCTAGGATTTTTTGTATTGTTATTAGGTTATAGCATGCCTGGAGTGCAATATATGGCACAGAATAACAATGGGCCTATTTTATCTTCAATTACAATCTTTGTTACTTGTATATGGTCATATTTTGAATGCTTCAGCTTCATGGTGTTTGATACTATTTTTAATTATTATTGCAATCTCTCCGTGTGCTTTACCATCAGAATAATTAGTGTTATAAATTGTGTACTGTGGAATTTTTATATAGTTTTTGTGTGTGAAATGAGTTTCAGATATCAGAATTACATCGATATCATTGACTGTAAAATATAAAATAGATATGATGTTAATATCATTTAATATAAGGAATAGCTTCGATTTAAGGCTCCTTTGCGCTATACCATTAGTGTTCCAAATTGCTATATTTACTCTAGTTTTCTTATTTATTAGTGAGGTAAGCTGATTGAGCATTGGGTCTATTCTTTGCATCAGATGAGTCATTATATTCTTCAAATGACTGTTGTTATTGACTACTATCGATTGAGCCTCAGTTTATTTGAGTTCTGTTGTAACTTTGTAAACAACCATTTGTTACCTGTGCATACATAATGCTTGGGCTAACGGTATTTTCCATATTTATCTGTTTTGATCTTAATCATGGAAATAGTTTTTGTTGCAAATTTTTGTTGCGCCTCTTCCTTTATGACTGGCTACATGATTTTTGCCGCAGTTTACACATTTGACATCTTGTATTTTGGTTTGTATTGGACAGTCTGAAGTGAAATGATTTTTTGCATATTATACACAAACAGGCAACCTATGACAATAGTTTTTCGTATGACCGCATTCTTTA